GGTCAATGAATGCCGAATGTTTCTTTATAAGGAAACAGCTAATATGAACATTACCATTACAGAAGAAGGGAACAGATATTACACTTTGATCCCAGGTTAATGGTCAGGAAGTAAGAAAAGCGTAACTCTAGTCGCACTGGCTGTTCGGTCAATGATTGTAGATGGTTTCCTTATAAGGAAATATTACCATTATTATTACTATTAGGCTGATTGAATTAATCAGCTGTCTGAAATTGGAAGTTGGTAATGCCACAAACTTAGTACCCCTAAATATTTAGTAGCCTAAGAAACACAAATTCTACTATTGTTCCCATAGCCGAAATCTGTAAAAAATTGGAAAATAATGATTTAATACAGATATTAACGCACGATTTTAAAGCAACGCCTAAAAAGACACATTCAGCAATTTGACAAACAGCGATCACCCTGGACACGAGAAAACCTTTTTTTCCTAAAAATCATATCAAAATATAGTAATAAATTGTTTGTGATGTATGGATCTGATGATTGTATTAGTGATTTGTATTTGTTTTTTTTTCTCTTTTAATGATTTCATCCCAAGCAAGGTAATATAGCCCCTGAGATGTCAAAGGTTACTGAGTGTGAAAGATTTTAACAGAAAGATAACATTATTAAGGAGCAAGAACAATAAAAGTACAGAAATTAAGAAGATGGAACATAACGATTGGCATTGCATTTACATTTTTGAAGATGAAATTTGACTTCAAAGCAAGAAGCTGGAAGAGAACCCCAAAATGAAAAGTGTGAGAAAAGAAACTGTTAGCATAGAACTTACGGTTACATCGAGCTATTTCAACTGTAAAATGATGAAAGATTGTTGCCAATCTGGTGCAGTGATTAAATTCGTGAAGTCGTGGTACCAAAGAAGAAAGCCCATCATACAAATTAGCCTGATCATATTTATAGAAAAGCCACAGGAAGTTACATTATGGTAGGTGGAGAGTAGCTAGAGCCGTGATGCCAGGACCAATAAAATTGCAGATTCTTCTTATTTTATCAAGAATCCCTAAATACAAAGCAGAAGCACCAGGCCAGATGTGTCAGCAATATTCAAAGCATGGAAGAATGGTGTAAGATTGATTGTGGCGGGAAAAATTGTCTAGCAGGACAAAATGAACAAATGGTCTTAGAAGCTGACCTAGATTCAATAAAATCTTTCCACTTCATGAACGACGAATCTGTTAGCCCGACAAGACGCAACGAGTCACTCTCTTGGGGTTTAATATTAGAAATTCCGATGTGCTGATGGAAGGCAAGAAAGGTTCTCTAAAACGATTACAGCACAGGCGGTTCATGTTAGAGGCGTTTAAAGGAAGAAGCCATTTCCTATTTTCAGTTAACAAAATATTGTCAGCCATATACAGTCATAAGACCTCATCTCAGAAATATAGACAGATACAGTTATACTTTCTGGATCTGTTCTCTCCGCCGCCGTGGCTCTATCCTTGGATCTTTTTTTGTTTTTAATTCGCATCCATGGCCTTCCTGATGCCAACTCAGTATCTCTGCTGATGACGCAACTATTTGCTGCTCTCTTAATGGTAAGTCTGGTCGGTTCGATAAGATCGAAAACGACTGACAATATGTTGTTAACCTCATCTCAGAAATATAGACAGATACTGAAGCATCGGTACGGGTCCGATACACCGAAAATATGGAGACAAACTAAAAAAGTCTTGCCTGAAACCGGCACGTGACAAAGATGACGACAATAGTCCGAATAATGTAAAAAGTAAAACTGCTAACAAAATTCTTGTCCATCTATTATCAGGGTGCCTTGCTCAAGCTCTAAATGCATTGAAATATATTAGACAGATAAGCGCATTGTAATAAATGCAAACATTATAACGTCCCTCGTGTAGTAATCAGCACCAGGAGGAGAAAATGTCACTCTTCATTAAAATTCTCCAAATATGATGATTCAAACGAAAAGATCATGAATCATAATAAAAGAATTAAAAACATCTCACAGACATTGACATTCTTCCTGATGAAAAATAATCATTTTATTAAATGAAACATTAAAAATAAAACGACTTGGAAATAGAAATTGCAAGAATATGCTGTTTAAATACAACCAGTTTTTCGATAACTATAAGAGCACTAGGAATGGTTAAAATGAATACTGCTATAGACATTAAGGACATTTTTGTGATCATCTGTCATTTTAACTTCAAACTGAGTAGACTTACCATTAAATCAGGAGCATAGTTGTGTCATTAGCAGTGATATTGATCTGATAACTTAAGACATCAGAAAGACCATTGATGGGAATGAGGAACAACGTAAGTGCAAAGATAGAATTCTGGGAGCAAGGCATTAATACAAGAAATATCTTCAATATAAAATTAATTTCGTGAGTTGATAAGAAAAAAAAAGCCAGACACTGAGCGTCACTAATTTTTCATCTAAAGCATAATAGCATCTTTCAGCAATACCCGTTAACACATCTGCAGTTGAGAAAGTCGCTTTTTATTGCAACTATTTAAGTAAATTAGGTAACAGTTGTTTTTTAAAAGAGAAAAAGTAATTGACATTCAGACACTTGCTTTCTCTGTATGGGTGCACGTCTGTCCACACACACACGTTTACTATAATTACATAACAAGTGTTCGTTTTTGTTGTGGAGTTATTTCGCAGTGGAGGCTTGTATTTGTGCCAAATCAGTTCTAAATAAGTTCGACGTACAAAACGTTAGGAACTTGATATAATAGGTATTACGCAGAGTAATCTTGTTGTGGTCGTTGACTACTTTTTTATTCGACTAACTGTCGACTACTGTCGTCCAACATTGACTGACCCCCATTTCTCTTACTACTCCTACTTATATTAGGTGGGAGAGTCTATTAACTATAGAATAGGTGCGTTTCATCATAACAGTTTTAAACAAATTATATTAAAAAGGAAATACATCCTATGCCTATTTCTTTTCCAAACTCGGAATAATCAACCTTCTAGCAACATGGCTTCTGCAAAAATACCCTCAAATGAAGGACGAATCAAATTTTTCGTTTCACATTATAGACGTTACGGTTGCTTATATGATTTTCTGGGCTTTTCAAGTATGAATTGGATAAGAGATTTCTAAGAGAATACCCAAAGCGTGAGAGTAACCTTTTAGTGTGCTTGAAGAATACCTAAGAACGTTTGTCATCTACTTTTTTCCCAATAAATGATGCAAAATGTCAACAATTTGTAAAGCAGTAATTACTACACACACACACATAGATAGATACATACACACACACACACACACACACACACACACACACACACACACACACACACACACACACACATATATATATACTCGTTTGGAAAAACCTTAGGTATTTTGGCTTGTAATTGAACAAACCAATGCTCAAGGTAAAATAAGGCTAAGTCTGGGGTAGTATATATATATATATATATATATATATATATATATATATATATATATATTACAAAATGTATTCCCGTTACTTTTACTATAATTTTTATACTTTCATATACTTTTACCCAAGTTTGTTGTTAACTATTTGCCCTGTCTGGGACTAGATCAGGTTCTACCACCCAGAGTCAAAAAAGGGAATATATATGGAATATATATATATATATATATATATATATATATATATATATATATATATATGTAATGTGTAATAAATATATCATTGTTATTATTATTATTATTATTATTATTATTATAGTCTGTAAAGAAATGTAATTAGCATTGAAACGCATCCCATTGTCTATATGTCTGTAGGTCCGTCCACACACACATATACGCATCTATTTAAATGTACTATAGTTAAGTAACTATTGTTCTTTTTGGCAACTTATATTAACATTATATTATGCTTATTGAACCTATCCATCGTCTTTTCAAAACTGCGAATAAACAACTGCGAAACTGGCCGCTGTCGAAGAATAAATGTACGAAAAACAACGACGTACCTATGTTTTCGTCTCACCTAATACACATTATCGTTGCAGGTTGCTGATATGATCTTCTGCGTTTTCCATTTATAAGAACATTTAAAATAAAAACAACATACTTAAAGCACTTCTAGTTTTCTTTCCTGCAATTTAATTTTTATTATTATTCTCTGCCGCCTGAAGTTTGACTCATGTAAGCCAAAAGCCCGGATACAGGCTTGATTTTGGATTTCGGAGCTTGTTATACCAAGCTACCTCACATATACGGTCTCCCTAAGATTCACAAAGACGGTATTCCACTCAGGCCGATTGTTAGTTGCCAAGGCTCGGTGTGCCAACCTCTGAGTCGCTTCCTTGTAGATATAATTGAACCATTGATCGGAAAGTCTCCTTCATATGTCCGAAACTCCGCCCACTTCGTGGAAATAATCAAAGATGCCCCCATCCTATCCAACCAGATGGTGGCTTGATCTTAAATTCCATTATGATTTTTTTTTTGTTTATTTGTTTAGCGGCATATCAAATTTTCATGGGTCATTTAATAACGAAATTTAATTAGTAGCATTAGTAATTTTTTGTTACAAAAATATATTGCTGCTAATATTTTATAATATAATTTTACAGTATTAACAGTATATTTTTTTCTCCTTTCATAGTGTTTTGACCCTAGTTTGGGGGTTCACTATTTACCCATAGCTGGGACCCTAACCGTTGCTACCATTCCGTGTGAAGGTGGACCTGGGAACAACAGTAAATTAAGAGGTGGTTTCACGCTCCTCAGAATCTCCGATCTCGCGATCAGAGGCCTTGCTGCCGGATATAGTTTATCGTCATACACAGGATGGACTATTACTATGAAGTAATTGACTTAACGCTAGAATACATCTTCATCTTCCATTATTGATATTAGAAAAAAAATGTCATTCTTTGTCTATAACATTTCAGCTTTGTTCACGAGTTTCTCGTTTATCTCCTTCCTTCTTTTTCACGTCTATAATTAAAATCATCATCTCTCCCCATTCTCTGTTCCACTCATTACTCCCATCACTTATTAATATCTAATGTTTTCTATACTCTTACCTTTTCTCTCTTTCTTTATCTTCTCACTCTTTTCTTTCTTTCCCATTCCTACTTTGTCCTTTTTTTTTTAACGAAGTCTTCTTTCTTTCCCATTCCTACTTTGTCCTTTTTTTTAAAGAAGTCTTCTTTCTTTCCCATTCCTACTTTGTCCTTTTTTTTTAACGAAGTCTTCTTTCTTTCCCATTCCTACTTTGTCCTTTTTTTTTTTAACGAAGTCTTCTTTCTTTCCCATTCCTACTTTGTCCTTTTTTTTAACGAAGTCTTCTTTCTTTCCCATTCCTACTTTTGTCCTTTTTTTTTTAACGAAGTCTTCTTTCTTTCCCATTCCTACTTTGTCCTTTTTTTTAACGAAGTCTTCTTTCTTTCCCATTCCTACTTTGTCCGCTTTTTTTTTAACGAAGTCTTCTTTCTTTCCCATTCCTACTTTTGTTTTTTTTTTTAACGAAGTCTTCTTTCTTTCCCATTCCTACTTTGTCCTTTTTTTAACGAAGTCTTCTTTTTTCCCATTCCTACTTTGTCCTTTTTTTTAACGAAGTCTTCTTTCTTTCCCATTCCTACTTTGTCCTTTTTTTTTTAAGGAAGTCTCTTTTCTTTCCCATTCCTACTTTGTCCTTTTTTTTTTAACGAAGTCTTCTTTCTTTCCCATTCCTACTTTGTCCTTTTTTTTAAAGAAGTCTTCTTTCTTTCCCATTCCTACTTTGTCCTTTTTTTTTAACGAAGTCTTCTTTCTTTCCCATTCCTACTTTGTCCTTTTTTTTTAACGAAGTCTTCTTTCTTTCCCATTCCTACTTTGTCCTTTTTTTTTTAACGAAGTCTTCTTTCTTTCCCATTCCTACTTTGTCCTTTTTTTTTTAACGAAGTCTTCTTTCTTTCCCATTCCTACTTTGTCCTTTTTTTTAACGAAGTCTTTTTTCTTTCCCATTCCTACTTTGTTTTTTTTTTAACGAAGTCTCTTTTCTTTCCCATTCCTACTTTGTCCTTTTTTTTAACGAAGTCTTCTTTCTTTCCCATTCCTACTTTGTTTTTTTTTTTTAACGAAGTCTTCTTTCTTTCCCATTCCTACTTTGTCCTTTTTTTTAACGAAGTCTTCTTTCTTTCCCATTCCTACTTTGTCCTTTTTTTTAACGAAGTCTTCTTTCTTTCCCATTCCTACTTTGTCCTTTTTTTTTAACGAAGTCTTCTTTCTTTCCCATTCCTACTTTGTCCTTTTTTTTTAACGAAGTCCACATGTCTTTGAAAATTCCATTAAGTTACATAAGATTTTTCACGATTGCATATACGATTGGGTAAGAGTTGCAATAGATCGAATAACAATGCAAGCGATTAGGTTATCGATTTATAAAACGTAAGAAGTATGTCAATAAATATTTTTTGTAAAATCAGAAAATATTGTAAGACAGAAGGGAACTTTAATTTCCAGTCCGCAATAAATTCATAAAAAGATAAAGCTGAGTTTCACAAAAAAAAAAAAAATCATCAATGACGCACAAAGCTATTGATTGTCGCTTTCGGCCGATCATGTGACTAGCTTTTTGTAATAGCTTCGAAATAATTATGATTTAATATTTTAAATATTTTCTTTTATTTTTTAAATATTTTTTTGTTGAAAAACGAGTGCTAACGAGATTAGAAAATCTATTATTAGTTATTTGCAATATGATTCAGAGTAAAAAAAAAAACAACTTTTCACGCTCAAAAATAATAATTCATTTTCAAAGAAAATTCAGTTATATTAAAAGTGAATAAATTACTTTTAAAATAGTTACAGCTTTTTTATTTGCTTTTTTGAAAAAAGAAAAAAAATGAATGCTAACGAAATTTTGTTGTCGAGTCATGGTAGAAAACGCCAACAGATTTTTTTAGTTCATTAATTCAAGATTAAAATTAAATTGATTTTATTAATTAATTTTCGTTAATTACTTTTCATCGCCCCACATCAACGAGTTTTTTCTTGCATTTATTAATCTTACGACCCAAATCAGGATATGAGATGAAAGCAATTGCTCAACTAGTGAAGCCGTTGGTATTTCAGTAACTCTCTCCAAACCGCATTAGCCAGCCCCTAATATTGCTAATGAAGAATCCTGCTGAAATATCTAACCTAACTTTGAACAAATATTACATACATTCTCAGACTGTTGTTCGCTAATAGGAAGAACAGATCGGAATAAAGAATAAATTCACAGTAAGATTCGAACATATTTTAGGAAGCTTCTATTAATGCAACAGTGCTTTACCGATTAGGTTACGGATATCAAATTTATACTTTCTAAAATAAAGTGAATATTTAAAGTAAATTGCTTATCACCCGGTTCTAACTCTTTCCCAGACATTTGAACAAAAGTTGAGGTTTATCTCTTGTTTCTTGTTTAAGATTCGGTTTGGAGCATTATAAAGTACAGGCTCTCGAGAAAGCAGTTAAGCAACATGCTCCATAAGTTTTCTCTGGGGTTGAGGTCAGGAGATTGGAGCGGCCATGTCATAACACTCACTTGCTTCTCATCAAAATATTCCTTCATCAATTTTGATTTGTGACAGGGAGCATTACCTTGCATAAAAATGTACTTGGTGGGGTCGATTTGCACCCTTTCTGCAGAAGGGAGCTGACAAGACTCTAAAATTCTCTTGTACTGCTCGCTCCTGAGGGTCTTTTCAATAGGTTTTAAGAAACCAGTTCCATGAAGCGAAAAGCATCCCCAGAACATTATACTGAACGGATGTTTGACAGTACTTACTGCTAAATTCAAAGAGCTTTCAAAGCTTCTTCTTTGGATTTTAGATCGAAGATCCTTTGAATTTAGCTCAACTTTCGTTTCATCGGAGTAGAGAACATTTAGTAAAAAAAAAAAAAAAAAATCAGGTGAGTCACTTTTCTCGAACAGCACTGTATATGCGTAAGAAAAATATATAAATAATATACATATGTTAAACTTTTAAAATTTTATAATTCCGATGTCCCTGGGCATGCAGTCTCACGGTGTCTATGTACACAGTAACGTGAAAATTTAAATAACTGTAACAACACCGAAACAAAAACTAAAATGAATTTGGTTCTTTTGGTAACAAAACAAACTTTGAAACATAGAAGGAGGCACCCAATCCGACTGCATTTGCCGTTATCACTTTCGATCTGTTGTTTAGACATGAATTCGACCTCCATTGTAATTATAATACACTTATTAATATATCTACAAATCTAGGATTAATTATTTTAGCAATGCCTTCTGTATTAATCCATCTTGACAAATTGAAGTTATTTTTTAATCATTTCACGCCAAGAAAGGGAATAAATACACTAGGACACAAGAAGTTACTGAATGTTACAGAATATAAGAAAAAATACCATTAAGGAGAGAGTAAAATCAAAGAATAAGATTACTTTTTAAGCATGTTACCACCAGCAAGGCGTGAGTGCCACTAGTACTTAAGGGTTACAGAAAGTAAGAGTAAAGAGGTGGGTGTTTGAGGAAAGGATCTAGAGAAGGACGGGGATCAGGATCAAGGCATCAGAAGATGTCGACTGACATTACATTTGAATATTTGAAGATAATAACTATCAGAGAAGTTAGAAGGGAGTTCCACTGTCGGGAAGCGCGAGAGAAGAAGCTGTTGGAGTAGAAGAGGTGGTTACATTTCACCGTTTCGACAGTGCAAAGGGTGGGACGAAGAGAGAAGATAACGAGTGACATTGTATTTACATTTTTGAATCAAAGTTGACTAGGAAGCCGTTAGCATAGAACATACTGTTGCATCTAGCCATTTCATCTGTGAAATGAGGAGACCTAACCGCCAATCTATTACTGCACTTAAATTCATAACGTGTAGGTACGATGGCGGAAAGTTCATCAGAACAGTTACCATGAATATATTTATAGAAAAAGGTACGTTAAGATGTAGGAAAGGGACTAAAGCCAATATGCCAGGTCAGGACCATTAACATCGCAGATACTTCTTTGTATTTTATCAATAATCTCTAAATACATAGTAGACGCACCAAACCAGATGTAGCAGCGATATTCAAAGTAATCATGAATGGCAGACTTATGCATTTATAAAAATTATGAAAAAAATTGTGTAGCACAACAGAGTGAACAATTTTTCTTCGCTGCAGACTTAGCATTCCCGTATTTTTAAAAATCATTCTCTCCAAGCAAGGCAATAAAGCCTCTAAGATGCAATGGGTTACTGAGCGTTAGAGAATATGAGAAAAAAAACTACTATTAAGGAGAAAGAACAATAAAAAAAAAAACAGGTATAAAGAAGACAGAAGATAACGATTGACATTGCATTTAAATTTTTGAAGATCAAATTCGACAGGAAAGCAAAAAGCCGCAAGTGAGTTTCACAAGCAGGAAGTGCAATAGAAGAAACTGTTAGCATAGAACTTACGGTTTCACTTAGCCATTTCAAATTTAAAACGATGAGACCTTACCGCCAATCTAGTACTGCGCTTAAATTCATAAAGTTTAGGTATTATAGCGGAAAGTTCATTAGAACAATTATCATGAAAGTATTTATAGAAGAAGGCATAAGGAATTTTTGTTTCAGTGGTGGGAACAAGACTGAAGCTAAGATGCCAGGTCAGGACCAATAAAATTGCAGATTCAGGATTTTATCAAGAGTCTATAAATATATTGCAAGAGCACTAGACTAGATGTGGCAGCAATATTCAAAGCAAGGATGAAGAGTAGACTTATAAATATATAAAACAGATTCTGGCAAGAAAAATTGTCTAGCACGATATAGTGAACCAATTTTCTTAGCTGCAGATTTAGTAATTGATTTAATATAATCTTTCTACTTCATTTCAGCTGAAAACGTTAATCCGGGAAGGAGCAATGAGTCATTCACCTGGTGGTTAGCATCAGCCATGTTGTTGGAAGGTAAAAAAAAATGGTTCTCTTTGATGATTAAAAGAGAGCAGTTTTGTTTGTGAGGCGTTAAAATTAACAAGCCTTTCTTGCCCCATATAACAGATGGT